TAGGCTACTTTGGGAGAGCTGTTGAATTAACAGGGATCTTCCTGGGCTAAGCCCAGGACCATGACAAGTGGCCTCACCAGGAGCTACCTGAGCAGGTTCTCCTATATCCATCTCTTGACGCACATTCTGGGTGAGGTTTTCTGGCTTCTGTTTCCTCATCTGGCAAATAGGTATAATTACCTGTGTGTGATAGAGAGGAGGCCAGGCTTATACTTCAGGGTCCTTGCTCACATGAGCTTCTAAAGTTATTTTTTTGTTTTTTGAAACAGTCTTTCCGTGTAGCCAGGCTGGCCTAGAACTCATGACAGGCCTTCTAACACAGCCTCCTGAGTGCTAGGATTACAGATGAGCATCACCTCGACCAGCTCCTTGAATTTATAGTTGTTAGAACAGCTTTATTGAAGTATCAATGATGTTACCAGGTGGGGCTGGGGAGGTCCCCCAGAGAAGAGACAGCACCTCGATTTACCCCACTAGGGGGAGGTCCTAGGTTCGATGACAAGAGTGTCAAGGAGAGACATCAGATAGTGTGTCAGGCAGAATTAAGGAAGTGCACACTGTAAAGAACAGAACGCGGGCCCTCGGGAGAGCGCACTGTGGTGGGGGTGGGGTGTCCTCAAGATGGTGACCTGGAACTGGGTGTGGTTGCCAGCACTGAAGCAGGTGGATCCTTGAAAGTTCGAGACCAGCCTGGGCTACAAAGTGAGCCCAAGGCCAGCCTGGACTACATAGCGAGACCCCATCTCAAAAAGACAAAAAAGAAAAAAAAGGTGACCTGAACAGGCTGTGTGCCCCTGCTGTCTGGCCCTGCCCCTCTGGTGGCCTAGGTCAGAAGGCAGATGTCTGTGTGAATATGAATTTAGGGATGGACTCACACTTAATGGAGCAGTTCCTGGGGATCTGGGAGGAAGAGTGAAGCTGGCCCAGTTACTGTGCAGATTTATTGTGTCTTCAAGATCCTGAGAGATTTTTTTTTTTTAAGTTTCCTGGAAACAAAAAAGGCCTTGTAACTTTGGGCATCTTGTGTCTAAAGCTTCAGTTTTCCTAAAAGTAGAATTTTAAAATTATAGGTTATTTTATTTTTATTTTTATTTTGTCTTTTTTCCTTTTAATCGGTATCGGGGACTGAACTCACGACTGTCTGCTTGCAAGGCAGGCGCTTATGCTGCTGAGCTAAATCCCCAGGCCCTAAAATTATGGTTTTCCATTGAGATACTGAATGTACCCTTCACTACCCAGTGATTTGGTGGTTGCTTGCTTGATTTATCTATTTGTTTTTGCAGTGCTAAGACTGGAACCCAAAGCCTTGTCATTGTATCTCTCATGCTTTTCCTTAGAGAGCCTCTCAACTTTTAAGTGCTCAGGTCCCACAAAATTATGGATTTGCTCATATGCAGAAAAGCTCCAGGGAGAACAGTGCTCTGAGAGCTACCTGAGACTGCTGCTCTGGTGGCTCCTGCCTCTAACCCCACACTCTGGGAGACTGAGGTAGTTTAACTGGCATCCTTGTTTCAGAAGGCTGGATCAGCTTACCAGGTATCTGGACAACATCTTTGTTGGTTTTTTTTTTTTTTTTTGGTCTTTTTCGTTTTTATCGGTACCGGGGATCGAACTCACGACTGCCTGCTTGCAAGGCAGGCACTTATGCCGCTGAGCTAAACCCCCAACCCCTGGACAACATCTTACTGCCCACCTCTTTGACGTTCATTTATTAGACACTGGTCAAGAGCATACAATATTTAGGCTGTTATCTGGGTGTCTGTATAGATAAATCATAAACAAATTTTTAAAATCATTTTTCTTGTGGAGCCTCCTTCTTGGGTAGGGAGGAAGGTCTAGTGGAGTGGTAGGGGGCCTTCAGCACCCTTGCGTGGCCTAAGATAGTCATGTGTCAATTACTTTTCTCTCATTGCTTAGACAAAATACCTGGCGCTCAAAGTTAAAGGAGGAAAGGTTTATTTAGCTCACAGTTTGTGGAAGTTTCAGTCCATTATTAGCAGTCTCCAAGGCGGGGTGGCTCAAGGCAGAGGGCAACAGTTCATGGCAGCAAAAAGCAGAGAGGGAGGAGAGTGAAGGGAAGCCTCTTCCCTTCCCTTATGTTGTATGCAGGCTACCTGCCCAGGGTGGATGTAGCACTCAACTCATAATCCCAGCATTGGACCAGGAATCAATCACAAACTCTACAAACCTCCCCTTATGGCTGCATGAGGCATGGGGAGGGGTGGTTAGACACAAGCTGTAACAAGGGCTTCTGAGCCCCAAGGCCTCTGAGCCTGGAAGTTGAGCCAGTGCATCTGGGTAGAAGGATCCCTGGAGAAGAGTAAAATACAGAGGCCGTGTGAGCAGTCAGCCTGGCACCTCCAGGATATGGATGGAGCTGAGGACAGGGAAGTGAGCTGGGGAGGGGTATAGCCTGTGGGGACTTCCAGGCTGCTGTAAGGACTCGGGCACTTTTACTTCTTAGAGATAAAGTTTCTTTTTGCTGCCCAGGTTAGCCTACTTGACAGACATTTTTTTTTGTTTTTGTACTTAGAATTAAACCCAGGGCCTTCACACACTCAGTTATATCCCAAGTCCTATTTAAGTTTTTTACTGTGAGATAGGCTTTCATGAAGTTACCCAGGCTAGGCCAGCTCATTTACATGGGCTAGGCTTGAATGTGGTGATCCTCCTGTCTCAGCATCCCCTAGTGCTCAGATTACAGCAATTTAGATTGGAAGCAGGTGGACCATTTTGAGTTTTAATAGGATCACTAAGCCATTCTACACTGAGAATAAACTGGGAGCGGAAACCTAAGTGAGAAGTATTTTCCATGGTTCAGGCCAGATCATGGCTGTTTGGAGAGTCGCCATGAGAGCTGGTAAATAGCCCCGTTCTGGGTACATTTTAAAGGTAGAAAGACTCGTTCATTCAGTCTTCAGTCATCATTTTGTTTGTTCAATAGGTGCCAGGTGTTGGAGATAGCCTCAGGCGAGCCTGTGGCCTCTCCCCTAGAAGTGTCTAGAGTCCAGCAGACACTGATGACTGGCCAGCAGCTGCCTGTGTGCAGCAGTGTACCCTGGATGTCACTGGTCTCCAGGTTCCTCTCCTCCCCTCCCCTCCCGCGTCCTACCACCAGCCTTGGGACTCTTGCCTCTAGACACTGTGTCCATCAGCTCCAGAATCAGCACTATCCTCTCTGTCCTCTCTTCATTTTCCCTAGACCATCTCTGAACTAGGCTACTTATTTAGGCCAAAAATGTGTCCATTGTCCAGGGAAGGAAACTGAGGTATCAAGTGTTCTACTCAGCCAGATGCAGACTCAGGGTCTGGCTCCTAAGTCTATAAAACTTTAGTTGGACAGGAAAAACCTTTTCTTTCTTTCTTTCTTTTTTTTTTTTTTTTTTGTCTTTTTGAGACAGGGTTTCGCCCTTGCAGTTCAGGCTGGCCTTGAGCTGGTCTCAAACTCCTGCCTCAGCCTCCCTAGTGCTGGGATTTACAGGCGTGAGCCACCACGCCCAGCTAGGAAAAACCTTTAATGGAGTAGATTTAAGAAGAGAAGGCAGGGTGGCCATGTCTATAATTCCAGTGCTCTGGGAGGCTGAGGCAGAAAAATTGAACCCAGTCTAGGGCATTTAGTAACATAGCTCAAAGTATTAAGAAAAGGCAAAAAAAGAAAACAGTGAAGGATTAGAGTGAGGGTAGAGAAAAGTGGCTTTCCACAGTACCATAGCTCCTTTGTGGAGATGTGGGCTCAGTAGAACTGTTGAGTGCCGCGGGGCTGCTCCGTGCCTTTCCCTGGAAAGCTTCGAGGAGAGACATCTCTCTAGACTCACAGGTTCAGGTGCAGACCAGCTCGCAGGCAGATTGTTTTCTCTCCTGTTCCTCAGACATGGACAGGCCAGGGCGCCCAGGCCAGTAAGCCTGCTGGCAGGCAGCACCTTTGGAGGGTGGCCTCTTATCCCGCCTTGGCAGTGGGAAGAGGTCAGCTGGTTGGCTAGTGTAGCCCTGCCCCAGCGATCAGGTTACAACCCAGGTGGCAGACGGCCTGCCTGGCTTACCTGCCCCTGCAGTCAGCAGCTCCCCCGTAGCTACTCTGGCCCCAGCAGTAAAGAGAGCCCTTCTATCTCTCACCAGTACTCTTCTATGGTCTACTCTTACCAGTGGTCAAGGTTCAGCCCAGGGCCCCTGACCACCCAGTCTGGATTGATCTCTTGTCCTCTGAGTCCACTCATGTCTCTAGCACAGCTGGATCTGGTATGTGGCACCCCTGCCCCAGCAAGGTGCTCAGCCCTTTGGAAGCAGGGAGCCTTTTTTGGTTATGCCACTGATGATAATAATCAAGGATACTTGGGGCTTCTACAATCCAGGGTCCTACAGCCATAGCACCTGCCCTCTGGCCAGAGCCAGAGCTGGGTGTGGAAGCAGGGGCTGAATGGTTTGGTTACATGCTTGGTTTTTGCAAGAGATAGGCTAAGCAGGGCTCTGCCATAGACCTGCACCTCTGGCTCAGTTTCTGCAGAGTGATGACCCAGGCCTCTTCTGTGGTTACCCTTGGGATCTCAGCATGTAGGAACCAGTGCTCTTGGTTACCCACACACAGGATATCTAACAGGGCTCTGCCCATTTCCAAAGGCCGTGGGAATCTCACATGGGATGACTGAGGGCCAGACACTTCCCAGAGCCGCCCAAGTGTGCAGAAGGCCCTGAGTAAGTCCAGGAGGATGGAGAAAGGAACGATGCCAGGGTCCCAGGGGCTCTGGAGGCCCCTCAGGATATAAGCGACCAGCAGCTTGCATGCCCTGTAACCTTTGTGTACTCAGGTCAGCAGTCCAACCAGTGAGACCTTGGCTTTCTCTTGTTCTGTGGATCCCTGTGACCAAGGATGGTAGGCTTGGTGAATCTTCACCCAAGTCTCCACCCAGGGCAGGCAGAGCAAGGAGAGGTCTCCCAGGGAAGCCACTTCCTGTTTCCCTTTCTTCTGTCTTCTTTTCCACTGAGAGGCCATCTTATCTCTGCAGGTCGCAATGAACTGATTGCCCGCTACATCAAGCTTCGGACAGGGAAGACCCGCACCAGAAAGCAGGTGGGCTGGGAGACAGGCATGGCCGGGGTGCAGTATCTCAACTCCAGCTTTCTCCCAGGGGCCTGGCCTGCCCTTCCTTCCTGGTGGCTTTCATTTACTCAGTCCACTCACAGATGAGGGTGGAGGGCCGAGGCTGGGGGAACTGCTGCTTAGAAGGTGAGAACAGGAGCCTTCTCTCCCCGCTGCAGGTCTCCAGCCACATCCAGGTACTGGCTCGACGCAAAGCCCGTGAGATCCAGGCCAAACTCAAGGTAAGGCAAACAGCAGCAGCGAGGCAGTGGGGCTCCATGCAGCCAGCATCCTGAAGGGGCTCTTTTTCTGGAAGGGAACGTCTTCCTGAAGGCCCATGGGCTGGCTGCTTGTGTGCTGAGCCCAGGGGCTGCTGGAGGACAGTCAAGATGAGCCTGGGATCCCTCTCCACTAGACCTTAGGGTCTGGTGTGTGAGTACCAGGCACACAAACCCTGGTTCTGGGCCACACCCACTGACTTCAGCTCAGAGGAGCTCATCTGGCCCAGCAGCTAGGCTACCCTCAGACCCCATTCTTTGAAGACTTGCTCTAGATCCTCAGCACTCTCAGCTCTGGCCCTCAGAGTGGCAGGGTTTGTGGTATTGGAGTAGAGGCTGTTGGAATTCCTTTCTGCTCTCGGGAACTGAGGGTTTCTTTGCTTTCCTGGGTCTGCCCACCTGCAGAGTCTCTGCTGATGGAGCTCCTGTTGGGAAATCAGGCCTCCTCCTCCTTTCTGGAACTAGGGGAGTTTTTGATGTCACTAGGCAGGAGTGAGCTAACAACAGAGGTGTTTTCAACCCGTGGAGAACCTGTGCAGCCAGTTGGAAAAGTCTTAACAAGTGGGCCACTGGATTAAACAGTAGTTCATAGGCTTTTAAAAATTTAGTTTTTGTTTTTATTTATTTAGAGACAGGCCTTGCTATGCAGTTCAGGCTGGCCTTGAACTTACTGTGTATTCCAAACTGGCTTGAACTTGTGGAGATTCCCCTGCTTCAGACACTTGAGTGCTGGGATTACAGGTGTATGCCAGCATGCGGGCCACACATACAAACAAATTCAATGCTGTGAAAGTCCATTTTAGTTTTTTCCTCAGCAAAATCTCACCAAGTATGCAAGGCAGTGTTCTGCTTGTAGGTAGCCTGGTAAGGGGCAGGCCAGAGAGTCTATGCAACGTATGTCTTACCAAGCAAGAACCCCAGAGCACCTCAGTATCCAGTTGAAGAGGCACAGACATAAATGATCTCACAAGTCCCAGCTGACCCCATGGTCTGAGGCCCTGCCATTAGCCTCTTGTATCAGGTTGGTGGGAACTGTAGACCTTGCTTACTCTTAGCAAGCCACAGCCACCACCAATCCAGCTATTGCCACATGCTACAGCTGTGGCCAGGCACCTTGTTCCTCTGTCCCTGGGACAAGAGGCCTGTTTGCAGCTACGGGTCCTGCCTAGAGCCTGCTTGCTCCTCAGGTCCTCTCTTTGCCTCCAGTTCGCTGGGACCCTGGCAGATGGCAGGATGGAGGACAGACTTCCCCGTGGTGGGTTTAGAGCATCCAGGGAAAGGGTCAATTCCTGTGGGGCTGCTGTACTGCCCACGTGTGGTTCATAGACTCACATGCGCCCGTTCCCTGGGCTCTTATTTGGAGTGAAGGACAGCTGTTTGTGGACTGCTAGACCGGAGCTACAAATGCTCTAATGCTGGCAGACTTCCATTTGTATATATGTTTTCCAAGAGAGAACAACCTGAGAATTTTGTCCTATTCTTAAAGAGTTCTGGAAATCCAAAGTGAGCAAGTGCTGGGTGGACAGTGAGGCCAGGTAGCCATCTTCAGGCTATGACCATGCTGCCAGCCCTGTCGTTCCCTCCAAGGTCACAGGTGCATAGGCAGGTCACACAGCCTCCTGGGGCATGTTTCACCTCTCACACATGAGGTAACAGTGATATGGTAGGGTCACAGCTGAGGTCACTGGAGCATTCAGGGACTCCCCAACTCTGCTCCTGGCCACTGGTGTCCCTCCCTGTCTTCCCTTCCACTTCCTCCTGACTCCTAGCTAAGCTGCTGAGGATGTGGTTTCCTGAGCCCAGTCATTTGTTTGGACCAGGGATCCGGGAAGGGATGCAAGTTGCTGGCATGCAGTGGGTGGAGCTGTCTGGCCTCACCATGCCGGGGTTGATCTCAGAGACTGGCGCACAGCCCGCCAAGTTGTTCTGTCTTTGAAGGGAGAGGCTGGGTTAGAGGTGCTATACCACCAAGCTGTGAGCACAGCTCCAGCCTCAGTTCTTCACCTTATAATGGGGTTCCTGCTCTTCTCTGTCCTCCTGGGAGTTAAGTGGGTAACATGCTCAGAACCTTCCATGTACTGTTATGGACCGCACCCTAGGACAGTCTGCTGGGTGCTGGCTTCACAGCCAAACAGTGCTGGGTGCTGGGTGGGCGTTTCTGAGCTTTGCTGCCACTGGTACTTATGCCTGCTTTGGATCAGGGCTCTTGTGTGGATCAGGCACTTGTGACCCACACAGGCACTCGTAAGCCACAAGGATCCCTGCAGTTCTCAACTTCTGTAGCACTCAAGAAATGCCTACATCTGCCAACTTAATGATTCATTTGCTTTTTCATTTTAAACAGTTCATCATAGCTGACGATTTAGCTTGGTGATGCTTAACATGGATGAAGCTGTGGGTTCCACGTCCAGCATGTGTGCGTGCACACATGTGCATGCATACACACACACATTAGTTATCATAAAGATTTAGAATTTCTAGTCAGAACTCTAGAGTTAACCTAATCAAGCCATTTAGTACTGGTAAAGTTGCACGTGCTGAGCAACACTTACGGTCTCAGTCTATATGTGAGGTCTTATTTTGGACAAAGATGAAATTCTCTTTAGACTTTTTGAAATAGAGAATGTGTCTCATCTCTATTTGAGTTTTGAAGACCCTTTGGGACTGTGGAGCCCTGGCAGGAAACCACTGGCTTCTTTAAGTACAACATTGCTCTAGTGTTCATGTCTGGAGGGCTGGGTGGAAACCAGGGCCTTGCCCATGCTAGGCAAGTGCTCTGCCATGAAGCGACTGTTATTATCAGTGTCAGGCCAAGGGCTTCCTAAGCGCTGGCTGTCCAGGGCCTATGCAGGTTGCACCAACTGTTTTGAGTTCTTTGAACCCATAAGAGGCAGATGGTGGATACTGACATTCTAACACTTGAAAAGTAGGTGAGTCGCCTGCTATCTACTGTGCAGGGGCACCACAGGACAGGACTAAGACAGGTGGGCCACAAGACACTACCCTTTGCCTCTGACCGCCCTTGTGGCCAGGGATGATCCCTTCCGCACATTGAGAAGATACCAGTCATTACTTGATCAGCATCTGTACGATTTAGGTGTTGAGATTTAGAGGTGCAGGACTGAACAAAGATAAAGATTCTTAATCTTCTCTCTCCCTTTTCTCTCCCCTTCCCCTCGAACTCCACCTCTCGCTGTCTGTTTTTTGGAGTTGGTGATGGAACCCAGGGCCTTGCACACGGTGGAGCACTTTGGTAGTATGTGTAAGCCCTGGGTTCCACCCCTAGTACTGAATGAAAAGACAAATGCGATCTGGCAGATGACCGCCAAGGCTCTTTTAAGCTGACATAGGCAGGGCAGTATTATACTGCTGTGACAGAGAGGAAACTGATCAGAGAAACCAAGTGACAGTCCAGGACAAATCAGTAGTTGCACAGACTTAGCTGCTGGCCCCCAGGCCTCCCTTGCGTGGTCATTGGACCAGCTTCCCTTACCCCTAGGCCAGCCACTGCTTCACCTGAGCCTGCATGGTGCCCCGCTGAGGTCCTCCCTCCCACTGTCCCCCCAGGATCAGGCAGCTAAGGACAAGGCGCTGCAGAGTATGGCTGCCCTGTCGTCCGCCCAGATCATCTCAGCCACCGCCTTCCATAGGAAAGTGGCCCTTGCCCGGGGTCCAGGCTGCCCAGCCGTCTCAGGGGTAAGTGGGGCAGCTCACGATGCTCTGATCTTCTGCAAGCCAGGAGCAGAGCCCAGAGTGTTTCAGTTTTTCTCACTTGAGTCCTTTCAGGCCAGGAGTGCCAGGGAGGGAGGAGGGTGCCAGGACCCCAGGGCTGGCCTGAATCATAGTTTGGCTGACGAAACCATGTTGTTGGGGCCCTTGATAGTGACCAGCTGGCCTTTAATGAGGACAGCGTGGCCAGCCATGAGCTGATGGCCGAGTCAGCCCAGTTCACAGATGAGTAAGCTGAAGCCCAGGGAGGAGAGCTGAAGTGCAAGCCACGAGGAGCTGCCCCTCAGCCCGAGGCCATGCCTCCTGCTCAGGACCCCAGCACAGCCTTGCTCCAGGTGAAGGAGAGCTTGTGCCTGAGCACTGACCCTGGATCCAATGTCACATTTCCCAGCCCCTCAGTTGAGGCCACGTTGGGTACACTGCAGAAATGCTCCTGCTTCCAGGACTGTGTCCCCACTGGGTCTTCGAGGATGTAGGGACCAACAGAATTGCCCTGGGCACATGAGGAAGGGACAGGTCCTGTAGTCAGTGCGCCCTTGTCCCTCATATTTCAAAGATTCCTTCAGCAAGCACTATACATCAGGATGTTAAAGAGATGTGACAAAAAAATGATCATATGGGCAAATAGGTTTGGGACATGCAAATTTTGGTTTGGTGCTGGGAATGGAACCCAAGGCGTCATGCATGCTAAGCACATGCTATATTACTGAGCTATGTCCTGACCCTAGGCCAGTGATGGCAGACCTTTTAGAAACCGAGTACCCAAACTGCAACCCAAAACTCATATACTTAGCACAAAGTACCAGCACAGCAACCAAACTGGAATACTGTGATTTCAGTTTAGAAAAAAACAACTGTTTCCAGTGCTCAGCTGCTGGGGTAACTTGGTTTGTGTGCCCACCAAAAAGGCTGTGTGTGCCCGCTGTAGCACACAGGCCATAGATTCACTACCATTGCCCTTGGGGTTTCAGAAACTTACATGCTGAAGTGCTCTGGAACTCTCCACCGGAGGAAGGCAGCCTGCAGTGTTTGCAAACCTGTGTGTTTTGTCTATGGAGCTCCTTATCCATAGAGCCTTGCAGAGCCTAGCGTACTTGAGATGCCCTGTAGTCTGCTAGTATTAGCAAACTAGACCCAGGACATCAATGTCCCGTCTTCCTATGCTGGGGTCAGCGCACAGGCTCCCTACAGCCAAGGCCCTGCTCCATCTCCCTCAACGGGGGCCTGTGTGTGTCCGTCCATACAGCCATGCTGACTGTACTTTTTGCCTTCCCAGTTTTGGCAAGGAGCGTTACCAGGCCAAGCCGGAACATCCCATGAGTGAGTATGGCCTGGTGTTTGCTGCTAGTTGTTCTCTGAGCTGAAGTCAAACCAGAAACTCAGGAAACGAAGGCTGGTCCCAGGGGTGGGATGGGACACAGTCTATGTGCAATGCCCACACCCTGGGCTGCTATTTGCCAGAACTCCTGTCCATGTAGGATGTGACTCGGGCTGAACTTGGCACTCAGGGAAGGAGGCTAAGAGTCGGACCTCAGACTGGGGGAGCTGGGGAGGGCAGGTCCTCAGCAGATGTGTTCCTGCAAATTAGCCACGGAACTCAGGGAGGTGGGAGGGAGGGAGGAGAGGTTGAAGCCACTGAGACCACCGATGGTCAGATGGGCTGGCCACAAGAGGCAGCTGATGTCTCTTCTTTCCTTTCCCCCCACAGTGTGAAACCCTTCTCTCAACAAACCTACACTGTCCAGCCTCCGCTGCCTCTGCCAGGTGGGTGCCCGTGTAGCTCCTGCCCTGGTCCCTGCCCCAGCATGTGGACCCCTGCATGCCCATCCTAGATGCTGCCTTGAAGTTAGTGCTATGCCCAGGACAGCTGCCCTCCCTGGCAGTGTTATTCCTGAGGGTCTCCCACTTGGCACAGCTGTCTGTAGTTCTCTTCACAAGGCAGAGCCAATGGCCACCTTGCTGCAACCTGGCCTCTTTCTAGCATAGGGGACCTCTGGGAAAAGATTCAGAAGGGGCCGGGCAGAATGACTGGCCAGGTGTTTCTGGGCTCCCCTCTGTCCCTCCTAGGACATGTCCTTGGTACCAGGCCACCATTGTGCCCCCAGCTTGATGACTGCCTCATTGCCAACAGTCTGGCCCAGACCCCTGGGCTTCCTGCCACCTTCAGTACCTAAGTGCTGCTCACCCTCATCCCCGCATGGACCATCACCAAGTCCAGGCTGGTGCAGCCTTAGCGCAGGTCCTCTGATGCTTGCCTGGATTGCTGAAGTGACCTCTTAACCAGCTCCACATCATCTCTTGCCATCCTGTGATGCTCTGGGGTGCTGCTCTTGCCACATTGCTTCCAGGCTTACCGCTTCTGTGGTTTCAGGAGACGGCATAAATCTGCATAGCTTCTGAGGCTCCCGGGTCACTTCAGCTCTCTGTACTCCCTGCTTCCTGCCTCCCTCCCTCCCCCTAGCCTGGCAACTGCCCTGCCCTTGCCTTTTCTTATGCTGTGTGCTCACCTCCACCCCGAGGGCCATCTTCGTCATCATCTTCTATCTGTCTGTGGCTAATGTATCTGTGTATTGTGTCACAGGTGAGTACAATATGGTTTCTCGTGAGTGATGCTTGGATAGATGAATGAACAAATGGCTCAGATGATGCATTAAACACAGCGGATGTGTCCTGTACCACTGTTACCCACTCCCTTCTAGATCTCCTTCTCCACATGCTCCGAGTTCCCTCCCTCTGACCAGCTACTGCTGTTGACCACACTGCTTGATGGAAAGTTCTGTCCCTTGCTGGCCACTGGTACCAAGTGCTGGCATTTCTCCCTTTGTATCTCCCGCATCCCCTCTCTGCACTCTGTGACCCTGCATCACTTCCTGTTGAGAAAGCTGTCACATCTGTCTGTGGTATCTCATTTCCTGCCACTGCCTACATTCATCCTCTTTCTGTGTCCCACATCCATTGAGTTTCTAGATTCACCAAGCTGGCTCCCAGCCTAGCATGCTCACCTCTGCTGTCTCCTTGGCTTAGAATGTCTGCACTGAGAATTTCCAATGTGTAACCTCATTACTTCTTTACAACATCATTTTCTAAGGGGAGCCTTTTCCAACACCCCTCTGGTTCCCATTTGGGTCCTATTCATTTGTTAGTGACTATACTGTAGGCCTGTTCTGAGGCAGGTTCTGTTTTGTGCACCAGAGAAACAGCTCTGGGCCATCCAGGTCTTTTCCTGCCCAGACCAGAGGTTGCTTGAGGACAAGCCTGATGGTGCCTGTTCTCACAGCCCTCCAGAGCTCAGTCTTCCTCAAGTTTGGTTCAGCTCAAACTGCCCCAGACTCCCCAGCTGTGTCTGTCACCTCCCTCTGTGGCAGATGCAGCTTTCACCAGTGAGCCTGGGTCCTTGCAGAGGGTGTGGGCGGGGAAGGCACCTGGACAGCTTCCATGGACCTCTCCCTCTGCGTGCAGGGTTTGAGTCTGCGGCGGGACCCACCCCATCACCCTCAGCACCCCCGGTGCCCCCATGGCAGGGCCGTAGTGTGGCCAGTTCCAAGCTCTGGATGTTGGAGTTTTCTGCCTTCTTAGAGCAGCAACAGGACCCAGACACGGTGAGTCCTCCAAGGGGTCCCTGCGCTCACGCCTCATCTGGCTCACTCTCCACTTGCTCTTGGCTTTCTTGTAATGCTCTTCTCTCACACTCCTTAGGGTTCGCTTAGGCTCCCTGGCTGGCCCTTCCTCCTCTTTCTTTTTTTCTCCTTCCTCACGCCACCTTCTTCCCCTTTTCCTGCTCACTGTCATACTCCCATTCCAAGTCCTTGTTTGCCTTCTGCTCCCGCCCAGCTGCTCCCCACACTTCCCTCCCCTCCCCCTCTCTTCCTCCCTCTTAGTCTGAAGTTGCTTCCATCCCAAGCTGCCCCACGCCCTTCCCTTCACTCCCTGGCTCTGAGGGGCCGGCAGGAAGCTGAGGAGACTCCTGTGTCTGATTCACATCCTCTGGGACACCATCTGGGACCAGTGGCCACCTCTGGGATATCCCCTTTAGTGCCCAGGGTCCTGGGTGACCAGTGTCACCTGTGAAGGCCAGACTAGTGCTCAGAGGAGGCCAGTGATAGGAGGCCTAACGTCAACAGTCTCAAACTTGTTTTAGTTGAGGAGCCCATTAATCGCACAATTCCTTAGAAACCCAATATAAAACAAAAGAATTGGACCTGCAGTTCCCATTGAGGAGACTGAGGCCCAGAGAGATTAAAGTGACTTGCTGTGGGTCACAGAGTAGTGAGCTCCAGAGCTGGGCAGGGAAACTCTGGTCCACTCTGTCTGCCCTGCCTTCCTGTGTCTCTTAGACCACCATTCCCTCCACAGTACAACAAGCACCTGTTTGTACACATTGGCCAGTCAAGTCCAAGCTACAGCGACCCCTACCTCGAAGCCGTAGACATCCGCCAGATCTATGACAAATTCCCAGAAAAGAAGGGCGGGCTCAAGGAGCTCTTTGAACGGGGACCCTCGAATGCCTTTTTTCTCGTGAAGTTTTGGGTAAGCCCTGGAATAAACCCCTCCTTCCACTCCCAGGGCATTGGTGGTGGTGGTGTGGGTGAGCGGGGGTAAGCATCATGCTCTGGCTGCTGGGAAGCAGCTTGAGGGATCAGCAGGGAGCAAGCAGGGATGGGATATGGATGCCAGAGAACAGGGGTGAGGGGGTTGAACACGGGACCTCCAACATGTGGGGAAGTGCTCTGCCACTGAGCCATACCCTAAAGACAGCAGGCGTGTCCTGATGGTGGTCGCGGCAACCAGGTAGAAACTGAGGTGGTGAAGAGGTTGTAGTGCTGGACAAAGACTCAAAGGAAGCAAAGGGGTGGGAGAAGAGCCAGCCTAGAGCTTCTGCAGTAGCTGGGCAATTTTGAAGGGCAACTCTGGTACAGTCCCTGGTCTGCAGCTGACCAGCCAGTCCTCCAGTGCTGTCTCCAGACCATGTTGGGTTGGACTGAGCTGGAGGAAGGAGTGCCTAGGACTAGGGTCATTCATCCAGCCTAAATTGCTCCAGATCAGGCCACCCCAGAAGAACCCACACACCATTTTAGTCCAGCCCTGAGACTTGACGCCACTCAGCACTGGTAGGAACTGTGGTCCTAGGAAATCTGGGTCTGTGGGAGATCCACAGCACATTCTGGCAGGTCAAGGCCATGCTGAAGAAGGGCAGTAAAGCCTTGGCCACCACGTCATTCTCAGCACCCTGGCACCAGCGCGTGGCTGCCGCCATGTTCCTCTTGCTGATGCCCTTCAGTTCCATTAGCACCAGAGACCACACCAGCCCCCCCCCCTTTTTTTCCCGGTACTGGGGATCAAACTCATGACCACCTGCTTGCAAGGCAGGTGCTTATGCCGCTGAGCTAAATTCCCAGCCCCTCAGCCCCCTTTTCTATCTCCTGCTCAGAGCCTCTCAGCCGGATTGGTTCCCATACCACTTTGATATTCTGGAAACTTCACAGTCCCAGAAAGAGGCATGTTCACACACAGAGAGGTCTGCATTTCATTCTGGGTGGGCTGGAACCCAGCCTGGCTTTCCCCTACTGTTCCTTTGGCAACTGGCCCGCCCTCCATGGGCCGTGTGCAGATGGAGGCCCGGGCCCCTTGTCTGTGAGAGATGCTTCATGTTTGCATTTGGCTAAAAACAAAAAGCTGGTTCTGCAAGCAGGATGGAAATTGGACCTGGCTTTAGGGGTGAGCAGGATCTATTACGAAGAGGTGGGAACTCATGAATAGTTTTAACAAAGGAAGGACATGTGGAAGGCTGTGGGAAAAGCTATGAGAGAGGAAATAATAAAAAAGATAATGGAAGGGTGACTTGGGCCCTGGAAGGTCCTGATTATGTGGAAGTCTGGGTTTCAGTCTATGCTGCAATGAAAAACAGACAATAGAGGTTTGTTTGTTTAAGACAGGTCTTACTATGCATTCAGTTTGGCTTTGGACGTACTGTGTAGCCCAAGCTGACCTCAAATTCACAGTGTTTCCCCTGCCTCGGCCTCCAGAGTGCTAGGATTATAGGCATGTATCACCATATCCAGTGGTAATAGTTTTTTAGGGTTTTTTGTTTATTTTGTTTTCTGGTTTTTTTTTTTGTTTTTTTTTTTTTTTTTTTTGTCTTTTTCCTTTTTATCGGTACCAGGGATCGAACTCACGACTGCCTGCTTACAAGACAGGCGCTTATGCTGTTTTCTGTTTTTTATGCTGGAGATTGAACCTTGTGTCTTGCACATGCTAAGTACATGCTATACCTCTGCTGCTTTAAATCATGCATGCTAAGCTGTTAATATGTAAGGACCCACATTCTTGTCCTCTCTTCTCTATGTCCCAACCCTAAGAGGCAGTTGCTGTAAATGTTAGCTGTTGTTTTTGTTTGTTTGTTTATTTATTTATTTATTTATTTGAATTAGGGATCGAATTCATGAGCCCACAGTTACCAGGCAGGCACTTATGCTATTGAGCTTAATCCCTGGCCCACTTTGTTTGCTTATTGAAGTAAGGTCTTGCTATGCAGTTCAGGCTGGCCTTGAACCCACCTTGGAGCCCAGACTGACCTCAAAATCATAGCAGGCTTCCTGCCTCAGCCTCCTGAGTGCTACAAGTATAAAGCATGTATCGTATCACCACACCCAGCTTTTAGCTTTTTTTTTTTTTAATTTTATTTTTGCAGTGCAACAGCAAGCAAAACCATGGAAACAACACCTAGATTTGGAGGCAGATTTATTTTACGTTAACAGACACTGATTGGGATCATTGGCAGAATATCAGGCCCTGATCTCAATGTGCATCATAGTGACCCTCTGGGCATCAGATTGACCAGCCATTTCTAAGAAACAAAAGTTATAAGAACTGGAACTATTACCTAGGCAACTAACAGACTGGCTAGGGGACATTTTCTGCTACATTTCCCTCCTCTTTTAGTTTCCCCAGCAAATCTTTGATGGGCATATTACATGTGATCTTTTGAGATAAGGCCCAACTAGAAGCAGTAACATTAGGAAGTTGAGTCCAGGTCAGTTGACTTTTGAGTTCAGAACTGGGGTCTTTTTATTTAAAGGCAAAGAGGGGCTGGCTGACAGGAGCCAATAGAAGCGGAAAAAGGCATTTTTTAGGTCCAGCAGGCTGTGGGTGGCAGAAGACTGAGGCAATAGATATGGAGGGTAATCTCAGCAGCATTGTCAGCTTGGAGAACCTGAACTGGCTTCACAGTCGGGAGAGGTATATTTTAGCAGTTTGACAGTCTATACTGTTGCTTGGAGGTCTATCATGGAGCCAGAAGGAATAGAGAAACAGGCTGTGTTGGAGCCATATATGTTGCTAGGGCCTCCCCAAAAATAGTGTGGGAAAGTTCCTTAATCCTGTGGCAATTGAGTAACAGTCCAAAAGGGGTGTATGGGTTGGGAACTGCAGAATGCAAGATGATGGCTGCTTAGTTGACAGCACAGAGATCTTGCCCAAGGTGATTAATAATCTATAAGGCTGATGTGTGGCAAGATGACTGTTTGTGCTCCCATGACATGTGACAGCAGTAGGAGTCACAGTGAGGTGGCATGCTTCATGGCCAGGCCCAGAGGCAATCTTGGCTCATATCTCTGAGAGAAGAATTTTCAGAACTTTAGGATTTTGGTTTTCTGGCACAGGCTAATATAGATGTTGTCTTCCTCTCAGGGAACAGTCAAAGCTGAAAGTGCAGGGTTAAATGAGAGGGAGGTTGACTGACTTGGTGCAAAGGATATGGTTGCTTCTAACTTGAATAGGAGCTCTCTTCCCAAATGCAGTATGGGGACTGGCTTACATACAAGATGTGCCAGGCAGAATGGGTGAGAGACAAGGATCCCAATTTCCCCAGTGATGGTACTATCGGCTCTCAGTGGTCCAGCTAAAGAAGGGAGCCTGGTCTGACTTAGTCTGAGCCCATCAGACTGATGAAAGGATTGTCATCTGATCCAGGTTGAAGCTTTTGAGAGTTACCTTTTAATTTAAATGAGTGTGTGTGTTGTGTGTATGTGTGTGTGTTCATAGCCCTTATAATTTGTATGTTGGTCTTTGGCCAGATCATCTATGAGACTGGATTTTTTATGGATATCAGGCTTCTGGGTAACAGCAGTAACTTTTTCACTCCCTTTTTAATGCCTTTCAGAAGTACTTGACTGATACTAGAGCAACTTTGGGAAAACCCATAGTAACTCATTCTTAAGGACTAATACTCTAATTTTTCTCAGTCAAAATGTGGAATTTAGCTTAGTGGCACAAGTGCCCACCCACCAAGTGCAAGGTTCTGAGTTTGATTCCTGGTTACCGCCCCCCACAAAGACATGGAACTCAGAAGGAATGGCTGACAGTCCTCTTGGGTGGCTGTTAGATGATACTGTCTGCCCAGGAAAGCAGAGCTGTGAAGCAGAAGGTTTGGTATGGAGGGTCTCTGTAGCCAAATGCAGGCAGTGGCTAGCTGGAACCAGTTCATTTGACCAGAAGTAGATGAGTCAGGAGCGGGGAATGAAGTTCCAGGTGCTGGCAGCAACTGCAGCAGCCAATAAAGGGTGCCAAGCCAGAATTCTTAGGAAGAATGGGCCTCTTTTGTCTTTTTTTTCTTTGAGATGTTTCAATTTTAATTCTGTAAAAAGCCTTTTTTCCTGCAGTCAGGACTAATTAATTTCCACCTCTGACTTCCTAGATGTGTATTGTGTACCCTTGAATGATGGCACAATAGACAAAGGATGGGTCTCCCTCAGAGAGAGACCATTTAGATGCCTGTTTGGCCACGCCCCTTCAGGGACTTAGACATGACTTAGCTAAGGAGGATGCAAGGCCTCTGTTATTGCCACATGTCAACTGCTATGAAACTGCAGGTGAAGGTCCAATCAACCATCACAATCAGTGCTTCCTAGTGTTGGTGCACAGTTGGAGTAATCTATCGCTGTCTTGTCCACTCACACATTTATTCAGCAGGCATTTGGGTTAAACATTCCGTCCTCTTCCCTTGAGGGACTAATGGGAGTTGATTAGACTCCCCTTCTGCTTGAGCAGAGCAGAACTGACAGACTAACTGGGGTACCCCTGGGATTCCTACCAGAATTAGGCCAACAGACATAGATTGTGCCCTCCTTTTGGGGTCCAACATGAGCTGCTCAAGCAGGGAGCCAGAAATGTTTCTCTAAACCTCTGAGGGGACTCGAGAAATCTCAAGGGCACATTGTCCCATCAGGACCTGGAGAAGTCCTTGTTCCATCCGTCGGGTCATGACCAGTGACCAAAAGAGATCAGCATGATCACTCTTCCTGGCCAGTGCACCAAATGCAAGGGCAAACAGAAAGACTAAAATGACACCCAGGATCTGGAGGCAGATTGATTTTACATCAACAAGCACTGTTTGGGATCACTCCCAGAATATCAGGCCCTGATCTCTGGTGGTCTATGGCTTATATGGGATGAGCAAGCAGGAAATAGAGGCAGCATGGCTTGTTAGTTGGAAACTGGTTTATTTGATGTGCATCATAGTGACCAGCCAT